AGCTTAATTAAAAATCAAAACAAAAAATGGGGGTCAATATGCTTCTTTCGGCGCTACAATACATTTAATTTGACCTTTTTGCACTGATATTTGTGTCTTAATCAAAAATCACATCTTCGACGTTTTCCCTCCAAAGTTTTTATCCAAATAAATCAGGGGACAAAATAAACTATTAGTCTATTTAAAAAAGACGCATTAAAATTGTGACGAAAAAAAAGTTTCAAATTGCTTTGCATAATGAATTATTTGACCTTTCTGCACTCACAAAATGTGATTTTTCTGGCATTAAAAATTTAAAAAGCAAGAAAATTATTTTAAAGTCTTAAACTTTTGCTGAATTTAAGCAGATTGATCAAAGTTATCATATATATTCAGAAAAGAAAAACAAAAGTGGGGGTCTATGATCTAAATTTTTAGATATTACTAAAAAAGTGTCAATACCGAGACTTTAAAAATTTTAATGAAAATAATTTTCTTACAGATTTAGCAAACGCAAATTTAAGCACTCTTCTCCAACTTGATGATCCAAACGAAATATTGAACAGTTTTTATGATTTATTTAATGACATTCTTAACAAGTATGCAAAAGTAAAAACAAAAAGAGTAAAGACAGATATTCGACCTAAATGGCTTACACAAGAAATTAACGAGGCTAGGCATTTACGTGATTTATACCATTTACGAGGGGATTCAGACAATTTCAGATGTTGGAGAAATAAAATCACACAGCTAATTGATCAAGCCAAAACATCTTATTACAAGTCAGCTATTGAAGAAAGCTCAAGTCCTAAAGAAATGTGGGGTTATTTAAACCAGGTGGCATCTCCAGACTCCAAAAACTTTACACCAACCCGTATCACTCAGAATGGTTCTGATTTTGAAAATTTACAGGATATAGTTGATATTTTTAATAAACACTTCAGAAGTATCCAGTAAGTTATTGTCAGATATTTCAGTGCAAAATTTTGATTCTGAATTATTAAACAACTTTACAAAATCAAAACTTGGGAATGAAAACTTTTTCAGTATTCACCAAATTAGTGAGACAGAAGTATTTAATATGTTGAATGCACTTGATGTAAATAAATCAGCAGGTGTTGATTTTATTGGCCCTCGTCTACTAAAACTTTCAGCTAATGTCATAAGCAAATCCATTACACATCTTATAAATGCTAGCATCATTAATGGTGTATTTCCATCTAGTTTAAAGAAAGCAAAAATCACTCCTATTTTTAAGAATGGTGACCATGCTGATCCAGGAAACTACAGACCTATATCAATTCTTCCAACATTGTCCAAATTAATTGAAAAACACATAGCCAATCAACTACGGGATTTTACCACTACCTTTGATCTTATATATAAATCACAATCTGGTTTTCTAGAGTTTCATTCCTGTCAAACAGCATTAACAAAACTAACAGACAATTGGTTACAAGCTATGGATCAAGGAAATCTTGTAGGGATAACTTTTCTAGATTTTAGTAAAGCATTCGATTTAGTTAATCACAATATTCTGATAAATAAACTTAAGTTGTATCATTTTGATCAACTATCAATTAAATGGTTTTATTCCTATTTAAGCTCCAGGACACAATGTGTAAAACTAGGTACATATTCCTCTAACTTCTTGCCCGTCACAGCAGGTGTGCCTCAAGGTTCTATTTTAGGGCCACTTTTATTTTTACTGTATATAAATGATCTTCCTCTACATGTAAATAATACAGATATTGATTTGTTTGCTGATGATGCAACTTTACATACATATCATAATAATGTGCATTCTATTGAAAATGCCCTAAATGATGATTTGTATGAGATTGAAAACTGGTGTTCTAGAAATCAAATGGTGTTGAACATAGATAAGACAAAATGTATGCTTATGGGAACTCAACATAGAAAATCTAAGTTAACATCTTCAAAATTAGATTTGTGTGTATCAGACAAAGTTCTTAAAAATGTTGAATCAGAAAAACTCCTGGGAGTACATATTGATCATTCATTGCGCTATAATAGTCATATTGATTCTGTTTGCAAGTCCTTGACATATAAACTATTTACATTACGTAAAATCAAAAAATTTCTCCCATTACACACACGAAAACTTTTCTATAATGCATATATTCTGCCTTCTTTGAATTATTGTTTGACTATTTGGGGCAATGCTCCAGGTGCTGGCATAGAAAGAGTTTTTAAATTACAAAAAAAGAGCAGCCAGAATTATATTAGATGTGGCACCAGATGCTCCATCACTACCATTATTTGTGAAACAAATACATATTGCTTTATAAAACACTTCATGGTATGGCACCTGATTATCTGAGAGACTCCTTTGAACTCATTTCCTCTAATAATTATATCCTACGTTCTGAATCCAATTAGTATCGAACAAATATGTTTAAAAATTCTTTTCAATATTCAGGCGTTCATTTATGGAACAAATTACCACTACATGTACGTTGTTCACCAACTGCACAATCCTTTCGTAAAAATGTAGAAAAATTTATCATCAATGGACGCAACATTTCTTAATTTGTAACTTATTTCTATGTTTTAATGATATATACTTTTCTCAAATGCATTTCACCTATGTCATATACTTGTATTTTTCTGATTATTATACTGTTGTATTTATATTTGTACTATACATGCATAGAGGGCCCTGAGGAAGACTAGTGCTTTGCACTAATCGGGTTACCCTCTTTAAATAAAGTATTATTATTATTATTATTATTATTATTATTAATTTTATGTTAAAATTGGCTCAATTTTTTCCTGGACTTTCAGAATATATTTACTATATTTGTCACAATATAATGAAAGAATTCATAAGAAATAATTTATTAGATATTTCAGAGCCAGCATAAAACATTTCACTGCAAAAAAAAAAAAAAAAAAAAAAAAAAAAAAAAGCTCTATGTGCAACCAGCATGGAAAAATAGTAATCTAAACTTAACAGCACCATGTATATTTCAAAAGGGAAAAATTGATCATTTTCTTCTAAAAAACCTTCCGCCACAAAATATAGTTCCTGGCTTAATCCTATCTTAATGGAATTTCATCGCGTTTTTTTCATTGGATATAATTTAATTTACATTGTAGAATCCAGATTCAATGTTAGAACATAAAAATGATGCAGAATTTTAGAAATAAAGGTCCTGACCAAAATCTGCTCAAAAGCTCAGGATCGAACCTCCTTAAGCTAGAGGCCATGAAATCCACAATTTCGAAAAAGGCACAATTGCTCATCATAACTTTACATTTAGTTTATTTATTTATACCTAGAAGCAGAGCAGAGGATTGTCAAAAATTAATGCATTTTCACTTTATAATCATTAGCCCTGCCCAAACACCAGAACCCTGAACAAGGAGCCATAAAATTCATAATTTTGGAAGAGGCACCTTACTCATCATAACTATACTTTTAATTCATCGGCTTAATACCCAGGAGAAAAAGAGAAGATTTTCAAAGAATTATGGCATTTTTAGGTCACGTGAGTCACTCAGGTGACATATTGTTATCCGTTCTCGTCTGTCGTCGTGCCTCGTTCGTCGTGCGTCCTGTGTTAACATTTGAATATTTTCAGCTTCTTTTCTGAAACCGCTGAACCAATTTCTGCCAATTTTAGCATGTGGTATCTATGAGTGATGGGGAACAAAATTTTTGAATTTCGTGGTCCCTGCCACCCTGTGGCTTGAGGGGTAGGGCTAAAACCATTAAAATTAACGCAATCTTTAAAAATCTTTTCTTTACTCCTGGGCACCAAGCAGTCAAACTGTTGGTATGGTTGTACTAAGCATTGAGCCCTCTACCAATAATGTGATATTCATGGCCCCTGGGTAGGGGGTTCTAGCCTTAGGGCGGGGCTCTAATGATTCTATAGGGAAAATGCATTAATTCGTTGAAAATTTTCCCCTCTGCTCCTGGGTATTAAGCAAATGAACTAAATACATACCGGTAGTTATGATGAGAAAGAGTGCCTGTTTCAAAATTGTGAACCTCATGGCCCCTGGGTCAGGGGTTCTTGTGTTAGGGCTGGGCTCTAATGATTATATAGTGAAAATGCATTAATTCTTTGAAAATCTTCTACTCTGCTCCTTGGTATTAAGCCGATGAATTAAGTACATAGTTATGATGAGGAAGAGTGCCTCTTCAAAAATTGTAAATTTCATGGCCCCTGGGTCAAGTGTTGGGGGGGGGTATTTATTATATACTGTAAATAAATAAATGCTTTGAAAATCTTCTCTTCTGCCCTTGGTATTAAGCAAACAAACTAAATACATAGTTCTGATGAGAATGGGTGCCTCTTCCAAAATTGTGAATTTCATGGCTCCAGGTTCAGAGGTTCTTGTGCTTGGATGGGACTCTATTGATTAATTAGCAAAAATTCATTAATGCTTTGAAAATCTTCTCCTCTTCCCCTGAGTACTAAGCATACAAACTAAATGCAATGTAGATGTATATAATAAAATTATAAGTAAATGTGCCTTTTCTTTGCTCCTGGGTATCTAGGAGGCACACAGAATACACAATTGTAATAAGTTAAGCAAATCAGAGTTACCCCCTTTGCTAGATGTTGTTAATCAAGAAATCCTTGTATATAATTTAATTATTTAATTATTAGATTATTTGATTGAATGAGAATACAAGAAAGAAAAATTAGCCTATGTGCTATGTGCTGAATTTTACCATTTTGCTTTTATTCATAAAATTCACCTGGCTTGGTATATTTTTCTAAAGTTTATATTATATTTTTAGCACCAAGCTAACATATTCTGAAATTTATTTTCATCTGTAAACTCTTACTGAATGGGATTTGTCCATAATTTTAATGTTATTGAAGTATCAACTAATATTTTCCAAGTGTCATTTCTTTTATGCAAGAAAATACAACAAGTTATTGAGTAAATGTAACATCAGTTCGCTCTGTGCTCCTTTAGAAACATTTTTGAAGAAAAAAAGAGGGCAAATGAATGAAGATTAAACAATTTTACCATGATTACTCTGGTTGTATACTTTTTGGGGGAAATATGGAAGGCATTTCATTCTCCAAGTCTAGGGAGAAACATTCAAAGAATTATCCACTTTTCTAAAACCGTGAGATGATATTAAGTCTCCTCTAAAGAAAAAAATTGTTTGTATCATCTGTCCTTAACTGGAAATCATTGAGGAGCATGTGAAGAGGAGTATGCATCTCTGTCGACTAGTCACACTGGCCGTGAGCCCTTTGTATACAATATGCAAAAATCAGACAAAAAATGGAGGACAAATAATTATTAATGTAAAGCTTCGAGATCGTTTGCTCAAAAGAAATATCAGCATGTCTTCAAGGTAAAATTATTTTTCAAGATTCTACACTTCATCGTATATCAAAAAAAAAAAAATCAAGCAATAAAGGATATAACATTATTTAAAACAAAAGTATTTTGATTATTTTCATGACTAAAACCCAGAACAATATTTCTCCAATTTATACCTTTACCCGTGATTACAATACAAAGACTTTGTTCCATATCAATTTAACTTGCCTGCAATAAAAAATAAAATGTCCAGTATTCTTTTCACAATAATATGCAGAACATAAAATGCACTCATTCGCAAAGATAAAATTAGAGGAATAGGAATTATTGACTTATTGAAACGAAAATGGACGCGACAATGGCGGTATGGGTTTCCAAAATTTTATATAATAAAAGTAGCTGGAAAGATGTTCTAGCGCAACATGGACTTACTATACAGTTACTAGTGCCATCAATTGTTACCGATACTGCATACGTTAAAAAAAATTCTCTGTGCTTTTATTCAGTGTAAAAAACAGAATAAAATAAAATAAATGTGTCCGACCAATTCGTGCGAGAGAATGTATGGTTTAACAAGGACTCAAAATACAGAGGTAAAATTATTTATTTTAAGAAATGTATCAAAAGCAGATATAGATATGTAATGGGTCTTTTTGATGATGAAAAGTTTAAATCTCTCCCAGAAATTAAGAATAAACTGCTTAAAAAGCAAAAAAAAAAAAAAAAAAAAAAAAAAAAAAAAAAAAAATTAATAAATAATAATAATTAAAAAAATAAATAAATAAATAAAATAATAATAACAATAATAACCTTTGTGAATACTTACAGTCTTTATTAAATGGCACGATTTTAATTCTGGCAATGTATCATATATCGAAATTAATAATAATTCATTTCCATTAATTTTAATTTTACTTCTAATCAACAAAACCAACTTCTGAACTTGAAACCATTTTGACGAAGGGAATATAGTATTATATATACTTGTTGACAAGCTAGACGGCATTATCAATGAGACTTTTCTTATAAGGAATTTAAAGAGTTTTCTCGCAAATAAAATAAAACTCAAAGGAGCAATCACTGTCATTCCACATTCCTCTTCTGTCTGAATGTCCTGAAATTTCAATGCAGTCTTCTTTGCTTTCATCGTTATTTGGTTCTCCTCTGTTCCAGTCCGTGAACGTCAGGGAATTTCCGGTAGACGCCCAAACAAACCTTCCCTCTCTGATTTCATCTGTCCCCCCTATCCAGTATAATCCTAGTAAGATAGATAGAATATTACATCACGATGACACCAGAAATAAGGTAAATATTACAGGAATTGGGATTACTGTATACATACTCGATTTATCATAATTGGTGATTCTTTGTTTCAGAAAATAATTTTCTTCCTTTGTCTCTACTTCGGCCAATTTTGCACCATATTGTAAACATCTTATCTGCAAATATCATATAATTATGATAAAAAAGAGATGATGAATGATTAATGTAAATAACACACAAACAATACAAATCTGTGATGAGTGTTTAAAACACAGACCTCCGGAAATTCCAGAGGCGGTACATGTATCAGCTACCAATGAGAGGAAAATATCCCCTGTCAACCGCGTAACATCCGCCTTGAGCCCATTGTATTGATGAGGTTTACGGAATATTCCGTGTCCAAATTCATTATCAAAACAAAGGTCATTACAATTGGCATGAAATATGTTAGTCAAAATACGACCCAACAATAAGTTATGTATATATCTAAGTACTGTAAATCACTTTTTATTCACGAGAACTTTATTTTTGCGTAATTACGCGTGACTTTCTGCCAGCGAAAATTTCATTCTCGGATATAATAGTATTATTAAAGATTATACAAAGCAATAATCGAAGTTTCGCTTATATATACCAAATAAAAATCTCGCTTAAATGAGATGTCGCAAAAATTAAGTGCATTACAGTGCTATTAATTTTATAAATCAAGAAAGGATGCTTACAACTGCTTTGTCCCACGACTTTTTTTTTGCTATGATCTTGTAACAAGAAGATCCAAACGATACCCAATTTGATGGACACGACTTTGGGGACATATCTAAATGTTAGAAAAAAAAATAAGATGCAGCCTTGATGTTAAACTCTGACCATTTTTATTGATCACCGTTAAACTAAGTGTAACCTCTTCATTTAAAGTGAAATTTTCTCTTGAAAGATATAATTTTTGAAATATAATGTTTACCTTTGGTTATATTCCCTACTTTATTATCCAGTTTTAGGAGTTTAGTTTGCATCCTCTCTAGTATTTGAGGAAGAAAAATCCCTAGAAAACAAGAAAGAAGACAAAAAAGATAATTGTATACTGAGTCCATTGATAGATTTTCGGAAAACGATATACATACGAGTACAATATTGTTTGGAAAGTTCGTGAACTATGTCAATCTTTGTCAATATATATACACAAAAACTCACTTTACAAGGATACTTGAACTTGCCAAAATGATGAAAATTTGATCACAAGTTGTCATTAGAAATGAAATGCGAAGATTATAAACGGTGATCATGCTGAAAAATCCAATCAACTATAAAATTTGTGAATAGAGAGAAACACGGACCTCTGAAAACGGAGCTGAGTTCAAGTTCCACGGAGGAGTGAGAATCCCATGTTAATCTGTCACACCAGCTGTGTGCTCCTTGTTATAATTGGGTAAAAGGGAAAAAAATTCTGTAGACAGCAAATACAGCTGAAAAAATACCTTTGGATACATTTGTTACTCTGTTTTCCAGTTTTGTAATTTCAGTTTGCATCCTTTCTTCTATTTGAAGAAGTTTAGAGTCTTGCTCTAGAAGATAACGTTATTGTTTTGTGAAGATATTTATAGCTTTTAATAAGTTAAAAAAAAAATATTACTTAACATATTTACTGGATATATGATGCGAAAAAAGCGATTAGAAAATGTAAATTAATGTACTTAGTAGCATGTTTGTATTACATCAACAAATCTCTTTTTATCGATACAATGACCTTGTCAGCAAAAACAGTTTATCATTGAGTCAAATGCTGACTGACGTTTTTCATACAAATTGTTAGGGCATTATTTACACACTGAATTGTGAACGGATTTTTCCCTTATTTCCCGATCATGACAAGGAGCACACGGCGGATGTAACCGGTCGGCAGGGGTTGCTCACTCCTCCATGGCACCTGATCCCACCTCTGATGTTTGGAGGTCCGTGTTTGCTCTGCTCCTATTTTGTATTGTTTGATGGACTTTTGAGCCTGAATACTGTTCGTTATCTTCATATATTTCATCTCTCTCTTTTTGATGAGAATTTGCTCATTTAGGTCAATTGAAATCAGGAAATAAAGCCGTATATTTACCTTTGGTTACGTTTGTTATTTTGTTTTCCAGTTTTGAGAGTTCAGTTTGCATCTTTTCTCTTATTTGTAGAAGTTCAGAGTCTTGATCTAAAAGATAGCGTAAAGGTTATGTGAAAATATATATTAATGTATTCATTTAATACATTGAAAAGTTATTGGAAAAGGTAAACATATACAATGTATACTGACCATACTAGGCCTGAGTATCGCAAGCAAGCTACCTAACGATACGATACATATCACGATATGGTCATGCGATACAACATGTATCATGATACAGCTGTCAACAATTGAGTTAACCTTTATCTTAACATATTATTCTTTGATAACCTCCACAGTTATAGAAAATATTTTTTAAAAAAAATATCTTGATACCTTTGACCAAAGTTATGAAAGATGGATTTATAGTCTTGACATTGTATTTTTTCTTTGCTACCCTTTTTCAGCAATTTTAAATCATTAAAATTTGTTAGGTTGTATGTAGAAGTTTCAAACAAAAGAATGAAAATTATCTAGTCTGTATCACGATACATACATGGCGATACGATACGCGTATCATGAGCCCTTGCGATCAATACGATCGATGTATTGCTGTATCGTTACACCTCTAGAACATATGATGAAAAAAAATATTAATAAATTCTGTGACCAGTATATTTAATTATATCGCCAGATCTACTTCTCTTTTGATGAACATTTGCTCATTAGATCAATAGACTTCAGCAAATAAAGCTATATGCTTACCTTTCGTTACGTTTGTTACCCTGTTTTCCAGTTTAGAGAGTTCAGTTTGCATCTTCTCCATTATTTGAAGAAGCTTCATATCTTCCTCTTAAAGATAGCATTAAGAAGTTATCTTTTTAAAAAATACATACACTGATCGAAATTAAGAAAATGAAAATATACACATTCATCAAGTAATATTGATATTGTTATGTATTATTTTGTAATACTCTTTCTCTCCCCCCTCTCTTTGAAAATCTCTGCTTTATATGACTTTAAAAGTATTTCTAAATTTTCTTTCATATACAACCTGTTGAAGTGACATGATATAATACTTCAGTTTTATTTGTACTATTTTTTCTTCATTATAAATTTTTAATTTTTTTTTAAAATTTAAAATGAATTTGATGAAAAACTTACTATCTATCAAAAATGTTTTAAACACATCATATAAATTAAATATTTGAACATTTCTTAAAAAAATGGATAGAAAATGACGTTAAGAAAAAAAGAAGTTATGCCAGAAGACAGCAAATTTTCCAAACAACCATCCAACATATTCTGAACGTAGTGTTTAAAATACTGGAAATATATTAATGTAACGTGACCCAATGTAAGGTGTTACAAACATGTTGTGGGTCCTCTTATTCCTGAGATTTACCTTAATTAATTAAAGAGATTTGTTTAACTTCAAAAATGAATTTATTAAAATAATAGAATAATAAATCATGTTTAATAAATACAATCAAGAAATGATAATAGGTAAATGGGTCAGGACATATAAATAACAATAATAAATTGATTGGGTCACCCATAGATCAATTTCCCCAATTGAAATAGTAGGGGTGGTATCAAATTCTTACCCAGTTATAACCATGGGTGTAAATGAGTGAGTTCGAAATCTTTACCATGTGTTGGAGCAGTTCAGTGAAGGTGTTAATAGAACTTACCAACGTCTCAAACTGAAGGGGACGTTCAAAACGTCGCCTTTATATACCTTTCGTGCTATCTAAGGATGAATGGAAGACTAAAATGACTCACAAATCTATCAATTTTAAAACAAATCTTCAAGAATTCTTATATGAAATGTTTTGGGGTGATTTTTAATGCATTTCCTCTCCAATCTACAACCTCAAAAAGTTTTCAAATTAACACCCCGAATTTTTCCATGCAAGTGCAAAAGATGAAAAACAAGTTTGACCTGTTCTAAGGATGCGCCATGATTATTATTTAATTCTGTTTTCAAAGAAAGGTAAAGGTAGGTACAAGTAGCTACTTCAAGTAGCTTTAAATACTTAGTGTAATAGTGATAGTTTTATGCTGTTTTAATTATTATGATATTCAATTGTATAATTTATTAATTATACATTTATGAATATGCCACAACTGATTTTAAACTCTGAAGTGCATGTATTAATCTGTGTGTCAATCATTATTGACAAAGACAAATAATTTAAAATCAAATATCAATAATATTCAATAAAATAATTTATCAAATAAAATAATTAAATAAATTAAATAAAACAAACTAATTGAAATAAAATAAACAATCAGCTAAAACCTTAGATCCACTCCTTGTTTTATCCCTACACCTGTAATAAGCTACCTGAGTAGAATTCAACTTTCTTTAATCCTATTGGTCAAAACTTTTACCTCCAAATTCTGGACATGAGACAAAGACATTATTCAGATTGCTTTCAGACTGAGAAGACATGATTCTCATATTTAAATTATAACTTTTACTGTGAACTGGCAACCAGATCCTAATATGTAAGTAACTTATTTACTTCTACTTATTAACAAAATATATTTCAAATCTGATTTATCTGAATTATCTGAAATTAATAAACTAATGAAAATATTGAGTGTACAAGAGTTGAGAGTGAATGATATTATTTTATTACAGTACATACAATGATAAAGTGCCAGTAATTGTTGTTAAAACAAAAGTATTTGATGAGGCACTCTGTTCCATAAACAGGTACATTTCATATTTTTACAAATGTACTTATTATTTTTATATTTTCTTAATTAATAAGTGGACTTAGAATTCACTTAATGATTGTAATAAATAATGTAAAACAATTCAATATATGTTTCAAAGGAATATATATATAAATTGTACAAGTTTTTATAAAATGCTGTGAAAAGGGGAATAACTCTTTCAAACTATGCATAGTAAGAATGTATTATGATTTTATGAGTATATTGCATGTATAAAGAATTGTCATCCTGATTATATTAAATTGTACTAATACTATTTATATGTATATTTACAGGGTATTATTATCCATGGTATTATCCATAGTATTATCTACAGATATTATCATCTACATTAACAAATAAAATCACCATCAACGAACCCGCAGGTGTCTTGGTTATATTTATCATCTTTACCTGACCCCTGTTACATTAGGTAGCTATTAATAGCTACGTAGGTAGAAATAGTGTTTGGACTGGACTTGGTAAAGCCTTTAGCATTGCAAAGGCGGGAAAAGGGATGAGTTGTTGCTTTGTAATTGTTTTGGAGATTATACCAAGTTGATTTTGGATAAGTCAGGTGAATAACTTAGCCAGGTGGCCGTTTGTTCTTACGAGGCGGCTGATCTATGGAGGAAATTCGGGTTTGTACAATACAACCAAACGATATTCATGAAATAAACACATAAGTTGAAACATGAAGCATATACATAAATAACATGTATACAATAGTTGTTCATATTCCCATAATATTTACAAATAAAATTACGACATATAAATGTCATATTTAGGGCATAAATTGGGTTGATCTAATCTGTGGGTTGTTTTGGTAAGGGTATTAGGATTGTTTGAATTACACAACAAATTCCAGTTTCTCTCCCCCCCCCCCCCCCTCTCTATGACATCACTTTACAAGGATCCTAGCTGAAAAGATGCTGATATGAAGTTGATAGAAAGTTGTACATCAAAGTCAATAGAAAAGAAATGCGAAAATAGTGAACAGTGATCATGCTTTTAAAAATCAATCAAACAATACAGATTTTTATCAGAGTAAACAAGGATCTCTGAAAACAGAGGTGGGATCAGATGCAATGAAGGAGTGAACATCATATCAGTTACTCTAGTCGTGTGCTCTTTGTCATCATCGGGTAAACAGAAAAATCTGTAGAAAGTAGATGAAGGTGAATATTTACCTTTGGTTACATTTGTCACTTTGTTTTCCAGTGTTGTAAGTCCAGTTTGCATCCTTTCTTCTATAAGTAGAAGAGCAGAATCTTGGTCTAGAAGATAAAATAACAATTTTGTGAAGTTGTTTGTATTCATACTTCAATATAAGATACACATTTAAATTTATTTAATATATCAAAAGTTATTGGTAAACATATTTTCTGAACATGTGATGAAAAGGAGGCTATTAGAAAATATAAATTAAAGTAGAGACTTGTATGCTTGAATCGCATCCCCAAAAATTCTTTCTCTCTCTTATTTTGATAAAAATTTGTTTATTTAACCCCTTCACTTCCACACCGGTCAATTTGATCGGTAGCGCGTTAAAACACGACTTCGCGAAAATAAGATCTCTGTTTTTATTTCATGATAGCATAAAGGTATATAAACTATATATCATCTTTTTGGAAATTTTCTCTTCTTTAAAACTATGTAAAAATTTTATGTCTTCGTGTCGGTAATGAAAAGATTTTACGTTTTGAAGACATACACGACTTTTTGAAAATGGCGCAATTTTCCAAAGCAATTGACGATTTCCCCGACGATTGACATTTTTTATCCTGACTAACTTAATAAAGAAAGTATGATATATTCTTAAAGCATATTTTCTCTGCTTTTAAAATATGTAAAAAATATTGTTATTACTTTAAAATATTTTGTAAAAACAAGAATTTTCTTGCACTTATGTGTTTTTTCTCGTTTTTATTCGTAATATTTAAATAAAGCTCAGCTTTACGTGTATTTCTGTACCGAAATAGGGAAAACAAAATTAAGCTGGTAAAAGTAGAGAAAATTTCCTTTTCAACAAACCTTTATAGGTTTTTTTACTCTCAGTATTTATTTAATTACGATACTTTGAATTTGTGACCTTCGCATAATTTTTGTAGAAAAATCGGGGGCGATCAATATTTGCCGTCAAGGTCAATTTTGTTGCGTACGTATTACTAGGAACAACATATTTTATAAGTACTATTTATATATATGCTTTTAATGAAATAAATGCTTAATACAAAATAATTGGTTTAAAAAATATATATATACTATCTTTCTATCTTTTGTAAAAAAAAAAATATATATAATGAATTTATTTATCTACATTACATGTACAATAATGTTGATAAAAAATGTACATTCCCTAAACGTCTTTACGTCGAAAAAAAAATCAAAGTTAATATTGCTGTATGTTAATATATATATTCTTTAAAATATGAAATTTAATTAGATCTCTACTGACACGGAATTTAACAACTTTGAAACAAGCACAAAAACTCGCATTTACACGACTCATCACTGTAAGAGTTATTGCATGTACGAATTGAGATTACCACGTGTTTCCGCTGTAGCAGTAAACAACAACATGATGATGATCTGAACGTCAATTTTCATGATTATTTTACGACGAGGAACATCACATCAGTGCATCAAATAATATGTTGACGGTGCGACCGTTGGGGCGAGCGCATTGTTCACTTCATTCGTTAAGATCCGCCTCTTCATTTGGAACGTCTAGACTGTGACGTCACATGACGTCGTGTGTTAGCTGCATTTCCATAAACAAAGTTTAAAAAGAGCGATGATTTTAACAAAGAGCGTTTGTTTGTTTGTTTTGAACATATTTTATTGAGTACATCAAAGAACGTTTAATCTACTATCTGTATGCAATATCCATTAAATTAAGGTGAGTTTATTTTGTGTGAATTTTTAGTTGTTGTTACCGCGAGAACGAAGTTAGCAGCGAGAACAAGAAGTGATGCATTGTGGGTCCAGAATTACTGCGGAAAAAAATTCTATTGAATTAATGTGCTGTAGTCCGAATTTTCTCTTCGCCCAGGCGTTGTCGTTAGAGCTCGCAGTGACGAGCGGCGCTTCGCGCCGCTCGCTGCGCTCGCTATTACGGTCTTTCCTTTGGTATTTGAGGTGAGTAAGTATTGACTGAAGAGTATAAAGCTGTCTTAAAACGCATTAATTCACGCTCAAATGAAAACAAAATGTACACACGTACTAGATCTTCAAATATAGGCGTTACCCTGTTTCAGTGTTTGTATCTCGTATTGTTCAGCCAATTTTGTGTTGCTTTTGAAGTATATGCTTTTGACGACCACCCTTAAGTACCTTTCAAAATAAAATCAAGTTGGCATAATTATGGAGAGTTGTGAATTTTTTAGGGTGCTGCATGGTACCATAGGCTCCAGTACTTTCATCTGTGAAGACCTACTTGCTAACCCTACCATGCACTAGAAGGGCCATTAGGACACAGGTGCTTATTGTGACCAATGAACAGGTAAATTTTTGTTTTGGTGAAAATTTCTATATCTATAAAAATTCTAAATAAAGTGAAATTTTAATTGCATTCTCTTGATATTGAATTCACACAAGTTTATAAGAATTTGATTTATATTTTGAAAAAAGTGTATGATACACATGATATTTATGATGCATGTTTCTACATATAAACACACTATTTAAACACACAATGTTTATACGCATTTATGCTCAGATATGGAACAAGCTGTCTTTTATAGACTGCTGTGGTATTTTCAATCTCGTGAAGTATGTGGTTAGAATTTCCATTCTCTCAATTTTTCAGTCATGTACATGTATACATGGGTGGTCAAACTATATTCACTGGATGGCTATTTATCAACACTCCCATGTACACGAACAGTCTTGCCCCAGGAATTTTGCCCTGAAGCAACAGTTTTCAGTCCATTACTGTGTCCTTTTTCTTAAGAGGGCTGGGTGGTTGTGGCCATTTTCAGACTATATTGATCTCCTCTAGAAGAAGAGCTCCATATAAAGATATACAAAAATGATCAAATTTTAAAACTAAAATGTATGAAATTTTTGTTTGCCAAATGATAGTTGACAGCTTAAGATATCATATCTAAAAAAATAAGTTATATCTGAATCAGATGGTTAATTTGTTGACCCCCCCAGCCTCCTTAACAACCCTGACAGCCAAGTATGCTATTTCTTTTAGTTCAATAATTCAATAATGATGGTTTACTACTGGCTTAATTATTTTTCAGTCCTGATACATTGACTTAACCAAATCATTTAACTACATGAATCACATAATAAATATTCTTTTAATTTTAAAAGGAAAATTATATCCATATATTAATTATAGCATTCTTAATTTTATATAATGTAAATTCACATAATCTGTTTCAAAATATTTAAATCTTTTACAGGGTAGAAACTGATTACATGTACTTGACAGAAAATGATCATGTCATGGACAAGTCAAAGAAGTTCCTCCAGTCTTTCAGAGAAATGACAGTTAATGAAAGAATGGTGTCCACAAAGTAAAAGTGCTCTGGTCTTAAACATTTTGTGGAAGATTGAATCAGTTTGATTTAGAATTCAGCTTGCAATATTTCTGGATTTGTATATTTGGATAAAAACATAACATTTTCTACTTATTGACTAAACAGTTTTGCGTTAAATATTGCCAATGCCATCTATTATTATTTTTTCCCTCCAAGATGACGTCAAGTCTTTATT